AGAGCCCTCTAAGACTCAGATAGGGCTGACACCCTTGGTCCCACTAGAGGGACCAAGGTGTTGGAGCACATTGGATGGGAGGGGCCTTACAGCAGAGGACAGAGCACTCTCTGTCTCAGGAGGCAGAAAGGGAGCCCAGGGCCAGGGCAAAAGGATTCAGGGCTGTGGCTTCAGCTTTGGGTCTGTCCCGGGCCTTCCACATGGGCTCCTGGCTCTGTGACCTGTGGAACATTTGCCTCATTACATTTGCCTGGAAAGGTCCCAGGACAGGACAGAACCAGTTCCATATCTCATGATGTCCTAGGAAACCTCAGGGGTCATGTATATGACTAAGAAAGGGCCTCACACACAGCTGTTCCTGGACAGAAAGAGTTCACTGCTCGCCTGGCCAGACACACACACACACACACACACACACACACACACACACACACACACACACACACAGCGGGTCACAGAGTGACAGACACCTTCTTGGGGTTCCCAGACACACTCAGACACCTCCTCAGCTCTATCCCACATAGAAGATTTCAGCATTTCCCATGGAGTGGAGTTGGTGTAGGAAGGCCTGGTCATCACGTCCCCTCCTTTACTTTTGTTTTCTGGACTCTCAAAACAGCCCTGCCTCTTCTCCATACCAGCAACTGACCTAAAATTTGCAGTCATTTTGGGCAGCGTGGCCGATCTAGGGGAGGACTGAGACCTCCTTCTGGTGAAGGAACCTCTCAATTAGCAATTTCAGAAGACAGGATCCAGAAGACCTGTCCCCATCCCCCAGAAACCCCTCTCTCAGAGCAGGGCTTCTGTGGCTCTGTCCCCAGGGTTCCATCTCCAAGTTTTGTTTCGGCCCTGCGGGTCCTCTGAGGGGACTGTACAGACCCTGGGAGCACTGTGGAGACCCTGGGGGGGGGGGACGGGTAGCCTGTTGTCTCTCCTGACTTGAGGGCAAGCAGGGCCATATGGTAGTGACAGAGTGGGGACCCACTACAGAGTAGCATGGACCACAGACCCAGGCAGAACACCCTTTCTGTTCTCTGGGTGACCTAGATGAGCAACGCAGCACCTCCCAGGGTCCTTCTCCTAGTTGTTCCTCTCTTCCTTTCAGTCTTGTGGTTGAACCTCCCCCAGGTCACACGTTGTGCAAGCAGATATCTGTAAATGTAACCAAAGGAAGCAGATAGGAGGCGGCTGGAGACTTGATGTGGCTGACAGCCCAGTGTGCAGCTCAGTTCCAGGTTCCACAGCAGCCCTGTGGGAGGGTCTGGACGCCTGCGCTGTCCCCACTTGTCATCACAGGGGCCAGGGCGAACTCCGGAAGCCTGCACCTGCTCCGGAGGTGACACTCCCTGAACTTTGTGGGAACAGGTTCTGTTCTGTGCTGGGACCTTTTCGGGCTCTGGTGGAAACTCCTCCAGGACTTGGGATTATTTCACTTTATTCACCCGGGGTTGTTCACTCAATTTTCCCAAGGCAGACATGGAGGAAGGGCTGACATTCCTGGGAAAGGGCAAGATTGCCTGCCTTTTTCCTCCGGGTGACATGCAGGCTCTCACCTCCATCACGGGAGGACTGACGGGGCCCAAGTTCACCCCCAGGCTCTATCAGTGTCTTTGCAGAATCCCCCCCTGGCCCCAGGAGGACCCGGAAGGGGCCTGTTGTCTCTGGGCTTTTGCTGCCCCCAAGAGAGTCAGGCTCTAGTGGCCTGGGGGAGGCAGCTGTAGAGGGCAGCAGTCCCTGGGGTGCTCATCGTCCCGTTCCAGGTTGCGACCCTTAGAAAAGTGACTGTGTCCAGGGACTGCAGAGAAACTGTCACCCACCCAGTCTGGCACATGGGAGCCAGAAACTCAGATAGTGGCTCCCCCATCCACCCTCTGCCAGGGGAGAGTCCTGGCCTCCCTCTGTGCCTGTGGGGAGACATCCCCTTCCTTCCTTTCTCTTTTGTCTGGAGGCCCTGCCTTAAAATGCACCTTGTACTATGTGTGCAGATAATTTATCTCTTGGCTGGATTTGGGACCAATTTACCTTAAACATTTTAGATCCAGGGCTTCTTTGTCATGAAATGAGAAGTTTTACAGATGAGCAACTGGTGACAACAGATTGTATTTCCATCTTGTAAAGCTCAGAACAGATGATACACCTGTCAGAGACAAGCTCACAGCACAGGTGGTACAGGTGAGGCCATTCTGCCGCTGTTGACAGTGGAGACCTGGCTCCTGATTAGGGCAGCTGGTCACTCACACTGCTCCTCACACCCCTATCTTCCAGACACCAGCTGAGCCCCCTGCACCCAGCACACCCAAGGGCCCTTCCTCCCGTGACACTTGAGAGGGGAGCCCCAGCTGGGAAAGGAGGTCACAGTAAGGACACAACCTGACTCCCATGAACTTCCTGCTCTCAGAGTCCCCTGCACACATACTCTGGGTCTTTTTCTCCCCTTTTCAAGCCTGTCCCTGGATGTTCCTCAGGTCACACTACCCAGGACCCAGCAGATGTCTGTAAATGTAACCAAAGGAGAGGATTCAGCAAGAATTCCCCTCAAAGATCAGGTGCCAGGAATGGGGACTAGAGAGCAGATAGAGGTGGGTGGAGCCCTGAGGTGACCAACAGTCCAGTATTCCCACATCCTGAGGGCTGCTCTGTTCCACGCTCCAGGGCAGCCCTGCAAAAGGACCTGGACAGAGTCACTGGTCATCTGTAGGGGGCTGCACAGCAGGGTCCTTAGGTCAGCAATCCTCAGCTCTTGGGGGTCCTGAGAGAGGCTGGAGGGAGGAAGAGCAGAGGTGGGAAGGTTGCACTGAGGGAAAAGCTCTTGTCGCCCCCAGGGCCATGACCCACCCACCCTCCACCTCTAGGTCCCAGGGCCTGTGTGTCTTTCTGAGCTCTTGGGCCCTGTGCAGCCACCTCTGCCAGACCCTGAGTTGGCTTCTCACCATCCTGCTTGCCCTTCTCCCTGAGGCCCAACAGGTGACTCCAGCAAAGCACCTTAGGGAGAAGGCCTAACACACTCTCACAGTTGAAATCCCCATCCTTCATCAAGGATGAGTTCCCGGGCCCAGGTATCTATTGGAAAGTCACAGGGAAGTGAACTTTTCAGTCATGGAGACACTCTGGACAAGGAGGGGCTTATCTGGGTTATAAGGGGGAAGGCAACATCTGGACAAGTCATGGGACAGGACACCTGGCCAGGCTGGGGTGTGAGCAGGGGAAGGAGGATGTACCTGGGTGGGTAGACCCAGGAGACTCAGGAGTCAGACAGGATAGAGATGCCCTCAGAGATAGAGGCACAGAGCTTCCCCGAGAGCATCCCCTGGTCTCCCCACAAAAAGCTCTGAAAGATTGTGGTGGCTGGGACTCCAGGAATGCATTGGCTTGGGGGGACACATGATTCAGGCTGAGCCAGGGGGGAGTCAGGAGCCACCTGGGAAGGGTTGGGGAAGGGTGTGGGCTCTGCCCTTTGAGGGTCTGGCAGGGCTCCAGAAGCGACTAGGGGCTGGGAGCAGAGCTAGCTGGATGACAACGACACCCTCCTTCAGGAAGAGCAGACCTGTGGGAGACATGAGTAGGGACCAGTGCCCGTGTGTGTCTGGGAGCCCTGATGCTGGTATGGGCGCTGTCTCTGGCCAGGAAGGCTGTACCCATTGTGTTCACCAAGAGTACGGGCTGGGTGTGAGCAGAGAAGAGTGAACTCGTGAGACACACACAACACACCCAAGATAAGTTCACACCAGAACCCTCTAGGACTCAAACGGGACTGACACCCTTGGTCCCACCAAAGGGACCAAGGTGTGGGAGCACATTAGATAGGAGGGGCCTCACAGCAGAGGGCAGAGCACCCTCTGTCTGTCCATGAGAAGTGGCGACCACCAAGAATGCAGGAGGCACTGAGCTGGAGTTTTCTACCCACAGCAAGTGACCAGCCACCTAGGAGGACAAGAGCCCGGTGCTTTGTCCAGGGGGTCAGGGCAGGACTCAGAACTTCAACGTCCCCTCATATAACAGCTGGTAGGGTCAGTGTGGACTAAGAGAAGCCAAGACAGGGGGGTCAGCGGGACAAGGGGTAGACCCTGGGGTCCACAGGGCCAGCATCTTCCAGGGGCAGGTATGCTGGATGCAGCAGAAAGACCCGGGGGAGGACGGAGCCAGACCTACCTCCAGGACTCCAGGGCTGCCTCGGCACAGGAGCACAACTTCCCCCAGTTCCTCAGGGCCTGAGGTGGGAGGAAGGAGCACAGGGTGATCCTTTGGAGGTGGGTGTGCATCCCTGTGTCACTCTGCTGTCTGGAAGGGCCTGGACAAGCCTAGGTACCTCTCTGAGCCTTCAGGATCTGCTGGGTAATGGGCATGAAACACTCCTCTAGTTATCAATAGATGGACTGATGTGTAGGAGAGCTCAGGGAATGGTGGTCCCTTCTGTCCTCAGAGCCTGGAATGAAGGTCTGGCGCCTGCTCTCAGGGAAGTTTCTCTCCTCCAACTGCAGGACCTCAAGGTCCTGGATGCAACAGGCTCTGGGAAGTCAGGGACCCTGTAGACGCTGCTGCAGGGAGTAAGCGGTGGCTGTTCTGGACCTTGACATAAAGGAGCACTGTGGGGTCTTTCTCCAGAGTGTGGACTCCTGTCCTCCCACCTGTTTCCTGGCCTCCTACCTTCAATGTTCCTCATGTCCAGAGTGACACTGTTATGGCCAGGGCTCACTTTTCCCATTGTCGGTCCTCAGAGTCCAGGTAGGACTCTTGCAGAGTAGGGAAATCAAAACCAAAAGTTGTCCAAAGACATGGCAGAGAAGTTTCTTGTTCTGTAAATGTGATGTGGGTGGCAGGAGTGGCCCAAGTTTGGGAAGGGGTGGGGCACAGTATCACTGACTCAGCAGCATCCCAGAGTCTCTGATGGCATATAAGGCTCCGGGGCCCTAGAGAATTTTGACGAGGATCACAACATCACACCAGGCACACGTGTCAGAAGAAGGAGGCCTCAGAACCAGAAGCCGTGAGGGGACTAGGACATGGAGGACAACCCAGAACCAAGACCCAGGTATAGGAGGCCTCTCAGAACTTCTCTTCTCCTGAGCCTCCTCCTAGAGCTTTTCCTCGGGGGCACTCAGTTCTCACCCTCTAACTCCTGGGAAATCTCCTCTCCTCTTGGTCCTCTCTCTGGACCCTGCTTCTCCCTCAGGAGGTCCCAGCTGTAGCCCCTCTCTGGTCTCTTGGCCAATGCTCTCAATTCTAAGTCTCCTCCTCCTGGGGCAGGTGTGAGGGAGCCTGTAAATCCTGGTGGATGACGGCAAGTGGGTGAAGATGGTTCAGGAGGGATCCTCTTCACTTGTCTTAAATTTACACCTGCAATTTCTTGCAAACTTACCGTATCTCCAGACCTGGGCTAAGCTCTTTCTATGTCCAACTGTTTTCTGTTTCCTTTTATGAGTAGTAGGGATTGCTTTTAGCACCATCTTGCTAAGAAGAATGGTCTTGTTTCCTTTTCCTGAGAAAATACAGTAGGAAGTGGCAGAACCCAGAATCACACTCAGGTCTATGCAAAACCAGAGAGACTGAGTTTCTCCTAAGGACAAATGGATTAGGGCTATGTTAGAATGCACAGTGAGGGTCTAAGAGAAGCCTGCAAAACAGAGCTAGGGTCTTCTGCCCAGGAGCCTGAGGTGCCCACCTGCCCTGAGAGACATCAGAGCAGGAAAACTGAGGCCAGGGCAGGACTGGACTCCCAGGGAAAATTTGTGGAGAGGGCGAGGGAGGGCAGGAGAAGGAGTCGAGTGAGGGGACAAGGGTATAAGTCACCGGGAGCATTGGGAGAAGGAGCTTCAGCAAAGGGGTTAGAGTCTTTGTTTCCTGAAGGCCACCAAGGAGGATTAAAGTTAGAAAACAGCAGCACCTCCAGGACCCTCTGGAATGTCCCTTCCCCCATGGACCACAGTCTTGGAGGGACAATCACCACTGTCACCCAGAGCCCTCCCAGGACAGGGGTGGGTTGGGAGTCAAGTTCAGCCCCTCAGGCCCCTCCCTGAAAGCAGGAATAGAGGAAAGAAAGCAACTAGAAAACATTTGCCAGGAGTGGGCCCTGGAAGGCAGTCCCTGGATCCTCCTCTGGGGTCTCCAGAGCAACAGGGTCAGGTTCTCTCCAAGACCTTCTTCTTCAGGTTTTCCCGGAACCCAGGAGCTCTCGCTTCCTGGACATCTAAATACCTGCTCTAGTGAGCATCCATGCTCATTCTGCTCCGATAAAGACCCTTGTAAGGATATACCCAGGGAAAGCCAAGCAAGATGGGCTCTGACTCTCCAACAAGAATGCAGGGGGACCTGGGTGTGCTTTGTGCCCGGTCGCAGAAAGCATCAGGAAGAAGCCACCAACCTGGAGACTAAGAGGACTCCATTCAAAATGCATAAGTGTCCCTGCAGCTCCAAGGAAGGGTGCAGACACTGAGATTAGCAGCCCTGCAGATTTAGCCTGTAGGGAGTGAAGCATATTTAACTCAGCAGAGTGTTCACTATTCTTCAATATGACGATGAAAAACTGATGGCTTGAAAGGGAAAAGGTGGGGTGTGGAAAGGGTAGTAAAAGGAGAGGGAGGCCGAGTCCTTGTTTCACAAAGATGAGAGCCCGGAGACTGATCGTGGTGGGGAGAAAGGGAAACAGTTGAAACTGAAGAAGGAGATGTTGCGAGACAGAAACTGGTGATATCCCTTTGACGGTATGCAAGTAAGAAGGACCAATTGAGTGGTGGAAAAATCTCCCTTTTCTTAAGGGATGTGGTAGAGCCCGTGAATCATCTGAAAAGAGGTCCCTGGCAATCTCTTTCCCCAATGGTTTCACTCAGGGGCATCTCGGCCCTGATGCTGGATGGGGTATGAGTTAATTCTGTAGACAGTAGGAAAAGACCAGTGGGGCCATCTCAAAGGGGCTGTAGGGCTAGCAGAGCCAGGATGGTGTGGATGGTGAGGCCGAGGGAGGAGATCCAGCTGTACCCATGGGAGGGGGTAGGGCCTCCCCAGAGGATCTGAGAAGACTATGCTTGTCTTGGGGAGACTCTGAAGGGGCCAAGGCAGCCCAGGGCTGTGCTGACTTCCCCATGAGCCCAGAAGTGGTCAGAGAGGGAGGCTCGGTGGCTCCAGCAAGTGAGCAGAAGCCTCTCCTCAGATGTCCCAGGATAGTGGGGAGCAGGAAAGTTGGTATATGAGGCACAGGGGAGTGACATGGGGGTGAAAAGGGAGGGAGGTGGGATGGAGGGTTAGGGAGTGTGGGGTGGTCTGATGAGGAGCCTAGGTCTTTGGGTTTCTCCCACAGACAGCAGATGGATCAAGACACATTCATTTTCAACTTTAATAATGACCCTTCAGTCCGTGGACGGCACCAGACCTTCCTGTGCTATGAGGTAGAGCACCTGGACGATGACACCTGGGTCCCACAGGACAAGTACTTGGGCTTCCTGCACAACCAGGTGACCAGACCAGCACATCACATCTAGGCTGGGCCCTCCACTCTGAGGAAATTCACCAGTAGAAGGTTCTCAGTGATGCATGTGTTATTCCTTAGAGTGTCTGTCCCCTAAGTGTTCTGCTACTCCACCCTGGGATTACCTGGGAGACTTTGGCTTCATGATTCTCCACTGTTGGGGACTTCCAGTCCTATGTCAGAAACCGGTCACGTGATCTTCAGCCCTGGGTCAGTAGCCCTGTGTTACCCCCTAGTGCAGGGTTCAGCCATCCCCTCCTGCTGTGCTCTGAGGAATCAGCAGCAGAGAAAAAGGGTTTGCACCAGGGCCAGTTGGTGTCCGGTCTCCCAACACCAAAGTGCTTCCTGAGGACCCTTCAGGATCCCCTCCCAGAAGCAGCCTCTCGCCAGGGGTATCTTTAGAGAAATGGGATTAGAGAACTCAGAACCTTCCTGACTTCACAGGGCCAAGATTTCCAAATGTCTGCTCCTGGACATCATCCTGGGGGAAGAGGGATTGAGGCAGGAGAGGAGGCAGGCAGGTCATCCTGGGATTCTGTCTCCCAGCATAGAACCCACAGGAAGGCAACGAGAACAGGCACCATGTCAGAATGTCAGGGACGGCCAGCATTTGGGGAGGAGCCAGGGCTGGATAAGCCACAGGGTGCCTGAGCTGGAGGGACATACTTCCCTGACACTGCTCAGTACAATCTCTGGCTGGAGATGCTGAATTCTGCTGACTTCACTCCTGGAAATGGGGACTCCTCTGGGCACTAGGAGCTAAGCTGATGCCTGGCAAGACCCACATCCACTGCTTGTAAGGTCCTGTCAAGGACACCAGTTCCCATAACTGCTTAACCAGTTGGACTGGCCCAGAAATAGCCCACAGCCCTTTCTCAGCACAAACTGTGTCATCCATTCCAACCTACTGTCTTCCTGGCAATGGTGTCTTGGGCTGGACTCATCCCTTCCATATCCCCTTTCCTTGCTGCACTGGTATCCTCTGGCTGGCTAGCTCCTATTCCTAGTGGACAATGCTTCACTCTACATTTCAGACAGTGGGCTTCACAGTGACAATTACCCCACGACTCAGGGACCTTCTCCTTTGGCATGAGTCCTGCTAGGACAATTTCCCCCCAGTCTTCTTTGTCAAAGGATGCCTTTTGGCCTTAGTCGATTTCACACTTGAGCTCAGGACACGTTATAGCACAGTTTAGAAACTTCTAGAAGTATGGGTCACAGATGGGGTGGTGGTAGGGAAACTGACAGGTAGGGAAAGTCAATCTCCATATGATGGGAGCACACGCAGCTCCTTGGCATCAGGCCAATGACCTTGGGGCTCAGCCCTCTCCTCCTCTCTCTTCTGGCTCTTATAGTCTCTCCCTGGGCTGAGTGTGTTGAAGGTAGTGATGTGGGGTGCAAATTCAAAGGGACCTCCAAATGCTCAGATTAACTACATTTTAATGTAAGATGAACATTGAAGGCAATCTCTTAAAAACTAAATTCAGTACAAAAACTTCATAATGAAGAAAATATCCACATTCTAACTGAAGATAGATAGTAACAGTGCTACCATGTGGAGTGTATTGAAGCTGAGACAAATTAAGAGTCATCACTCCTGATCTTGATTGTCATAGCTGATGTTTTTCATTTGGAATTTTTGCTTCAGTTTTTATATTTTGAATACTGCATGGAAATTCATTCATCTTGGTACCTGAGGTCCCAGCCCCTCTAATTCTGTGTGGAGGCCACGGCTCCCTGGCCTCTCCCTGGTCCAGGCCTTCCCTTCCTGTTCACACTTTGCTTTCTTTTCTAGCCTCAGAGTCGTAGCAATGCCTATTGTGCTTACCATGCAGAGCTGTGCTTCCTGGAGCTGGTTTCTTCTTGGCAGCTGGACCCTGCTCAGCGCTACAGAGTCACTTGCTTTATCTCCTGGAGCCCCTGCTCCAGCTGTGCCCAGGAAGTGGCTGCATTCCTGAAGAAGAACAGACATGTGACCCTGCGCATCTTGGCTGCCCGCATCTATGATTATTACCAGGGATATGAAGATGGGCTGCGCACACTCCAGGGGGTGGGGGTCGACATCACCGTCATGACCTCTGCAGGTGAGAATACAGCCTTGGAAAGAGGTGGGATGGAGTGATTGGGGCCAGGGAGAGGGCCCTGGGAAGTTACCAGAAAGGGGCGAGAGAGTCAGCGTCCTTGAGGGAAAGGCCTTGGTTGACTGACTACAGAGAAGATGGCGACACTCTGTGACCTAACGTTGGGGTCTATTGGAAGAGAGTCCAGGCAAGGATGTGAGGTCCTGGGGGAGAGGGAGGGAAATTGGTGGGAGGTAGAAGGACTTGGGGGCTTCCAGAAAGAAAGAGATGTGGACTGGCCCCAGTGTCTCATGTTTATAATTCCAGAATTTGAGGAGGCAGAGGAGGATCACTTGAGCCTAGCCTGGGCTACCTAGGGAGATTCCATTTCTACAAGTAAAATAATAATGATAACGATAATGATGATAATGAAATAAATAAAAGACTGAGTACTGGGCCGACTCAGATTCCGATGGGAGGAAAGAGTGACAAAGGAGCTGCGTCCCTGAGGGAGGGAGAAACAAAGGAGGGGACTGAAATTGGATGTCAGAAGTCTGTCCCTAAGAGTCATACACACCCTGGCTGCTTCCTGCCCACCTACGAAGGGAACTTGACTGATCTTCCCTGTCCCTTTTCAGAGTTTGGGCACTGCTGGAACACCTTTGTGGACCACCAGGGAAGTCCCTTTCAGCCCTGGGAGGGGCTGGATCAACACAGTCAAGTCATATGGCAGAGGATGCAGGACATTCTCCAGGTGAGAGCCTCCTCTCTCTGGCTGGAGCCCCATCCGTCTCCTCCCTCCTCCCTTCCCTCCCTGAGCTTCTCCTTCCCCTCTGCTCAGAGCCTCTTCTGAGTTACCTGCTCCCCCTGGGGCATCCATCTCAGTCCTGCTCCCCCACCCCCTGCCTTTTTTTGAGTTGTAGTTTCTCCGTTGCCTAGGCTGGAATGCAGTAGTACACTCACGGCCACCCCAGCACCGACCTGCTGGGTTCAGGCGATCCTTCCATCTCAGTCTTCCAAGTAGCCGGAACAACAGACATACGCTACCACGCCCGGCTCATTTTTTTTATTTTATTGTAGAGATGAGGTCTCGCCAAGTTGCCCAGGCTGTTCTCAACCCCGTGGGCTCAGGCAATCCCCTCACCTCGGCCCCCCAAAGTGCAGGGATTACAGGCTAGAGCCACCCTGCCAGGCCTTTCCCGCCCCTTTCTTCTCTCTGCCTCCTCCTGCTCTGTCACCTTCTGTGTCCCTCCTTTCTCTCCCTGTGATTGTAACTGTCCAAGATCTCTTCTGTGTCTGCTTTTCACTGTCCCACTCCCAGTTCCATCCAATTTCGCCTGCTCTTCTAGAATAAGAGAAATTGAACGATGGACGTCAGTATCTCTAAGGAAGTCAGGTGACCTGTGACAAAGAGCAGAATAAAACGCCTCTTTCAAGAAATGCAAACAGGCCACTCTCCGTGACCTCCAGCTCATCAACACAGACCAGCAAGGAGACCAACTCCTGAGACGTCGATTAAAAAAAATCAGAGGGAATTCCTATTCATTGAAAATGTGCGTTATGTTTCCAATATACAGTAGTAAGAGTATGCTCCACACTCTCAGAATGGTTTTCAATTTATTAATGAAATAATTATTTCAATTGTTTTAAAATCTAAACCAGTAAAATGAAATATGAAGAATTTTTTGAAGCCGGGCTCAGTGGCTCAGCCTGTAATCCCGCGCCTTTGGGAGGCTGAGGTGAATGGATTGCTTGAGTTCGCGGGTTCAAGACCCGCCTGGGCAGCGAGACCTCATCTCTACAATAAATCAAAAAATTAGCCGGGTGTGGTAGCGCACGCCTGTAGTTCCGGCTACTTGGAAGGCTGAGGCGGAAGGATCGCCGGAGCCCAGCAGGTCGAGGCTGCGGTGGCCAGGAGCGGCCACTGAACTCCAGTCTGGGCAATAGAGTGAGACTCCAACTCAAAAAAAAAAAAAAGAATTTTTTGTAATTATTTTCCTGTATCATTTTGTCCTAAATATCAAATTAAATAAATACATGCAAATTTGCAGCATCTTTTCTATTGTAGTGGATGTTAACATGATGAGGCAAAGGTCACACTAAATCCTTCTGATATGAGAAAACTGAGCTACAACCTTACAGGAAGGTCATCTAAAGTGATACCCAACCCTCAATGACAGTTCCATCATGCTGGCCATTCCTATGTGGAAGTGACAGACCACGCAAAAAGAGAAAAGAGAGAAGTAATTAAGCACGTTGAAAAGGAACCCCAAAAACACAATCAGCAGAAGCTGGCAGCAGTCCTGTCCCCACACCCTTTCGGATTCCACTCCCTAAAGAAGGAGCTAAGGAGGAGGCCATGGTTGAGACCCAGGACAGAAATCCTCCAGGGGAGGGTTCTGGCCTCCCTCTGTGCCTGTGGGGAGACTCTCTTTGGCTCTGGGCCTCTTGTTAGGAGGTCCTGCTTCGATATGAATCTTGCACAATGTGGTGCAGAAAATTTCTCTCCTGGCCAGATTTAGGACCAATTTATTTAAACATTTTTGTCTTAGTCCCTCATGCCATCAAATAAGTAGCTTTAAAAGGTGAAATTTTGGTGACATCCTCTCTTATTTGTAAAACTAGGAGGGGAAACAGATGACAGACCCGTCAGGGACAAACTCACAGCACACCTGGTGCAGATGATGCCATTCTGCGGCTGTTGACAGTGGAGACCCGGTTCCCAATTAGAGTAGCTGATCACTCGCAATGCTCCTCACACCCCTATCTTCCAGACCACAGCTGAGCCCTCTCCGCCCAGCACACCCCAGCATCTTTCCCTCCCACACCTGAAAGGAGCCGCCCTTTGCAGACCCCGGGTAGGGAAAGGAGGTCACAGTAAGGACACAGTCTGGCTCCTGTGAGTCGCCTGCACACATATTCTGGGCCTTTCCCTCCCACTTTCAAGCTTGTCCCTGGACATCCCTCCGTCACTTGTACCCAGAACCAAGCAGATGTCTGTAAATGTAACCAATGGACAAGATTCTGTCAGGACCCCCCGCCTCAGGAGAGCAGGTGCCAAGGGTGGGAACTGGGGAGCAGAAAGGAGGCAGCTGGAGCCCTGATGTGACCAACAGCCCAGGGTTGCTGAATCCTGGGTGTGGCTTGGTCCTACCTGCAGGAGGGTCTGGACATAGTCACTGGTCAGGTGGAGGGCTGCACAGCAGGGCCTGAGGCCCAACAGTCCTCAGCCCATGGGGGTCCTAAGAGAGGCTGGGGGGCGGGGGAAGAGCCAAGGTGGGAAGGTTGCGCTGAGAGAAGCCTTTCAGAGCCCCTGACCCACCTGCCTCCAGATGGACACTTAGGACCTAGGTGTCTTCTGAGCTCTTGGGCCCAGTACAGCCCCCTCTGCCGGATCCTGAGTTGACCACTCACCACCCTGCTTGCCCTCCTCCCTGTGGCCCAACAGGTGATTCCAGCAAAATACCTTATGGAGAAGGTCAAGTACACTGTCACAGTTGACATCCTCTTCAAGGGCCGAGTCCCTGGGCCCAGGTATCTATCGGGAAGTCACTGGGAAGTGAACTTTTCAGTCGTGGAGGCACTCTGGGCAAGGAGGGGCTTGTCTGGGTTAGAGAGAGGGAAACAAGCCTTGGCAGGGGTCATAGGCAGGAGTCCTTGCCAGGCGGAGACCTAGGCAGGGGAAGGAGGACGTGCCTGGGGTGCTGAATGGGGGGAACCCAGAGACTGAGAGCCAGACAAGAGGGAGTTGCCCCCGAGTTGGGGGCATAGCCTTCACCCACATGCAGCCCCCCAGGTCTCCCCACAGAAAGCTCTAGAGGGCTTTAGCTCCAGGGACACATTTGCTTGGGGTGGGGCATGTGATGCAGGTTGAAATGAGGGAAAGACTGTCACTCTGGGCAGCAGGAGACATCTGGAAAGGAGTGGGGAAGGACATGGGCTCTGCCCTCCAAGGATCCTGCAGGGCACAGAAGGTGACTGGGGACCAGGAGCAGAGCTGGTTGAATCAGGACAACACCCCTCTCCACGAAGGGCAACTCTTTGGGGACATGAGCAGGGACCAGGATCCTTTTGTGTCTGGGAGCCCTGATGCTGATGCAGGTGCCATCTCTGGCCAGGAGGGGTGTGCCTACCGTGGGCACCTCTGTGTGTGGGAACAGAGAAGTGTGGGCTCTAGTCAGATACACAACACACCCATGATGAGTTCACCCTGAACCACCTAAGGCTCAAATGGGGCTGACACCCACAGGGATGTTCTCTTGACTAGAAGGGATCAAGATCTGGGAGCACAGAAGATGGGAGGAGCCTCACAGCAGAGGGTGGTGCATCCTCTGTCTTTCTATGAGGAGTGGCAGCCACCAAGAACGCAGGAGACACTGAGCTGAGGTTTTCCACCCACCGTATGTGACAAGCCAGCCTGGGAGGACAAGGAACCCAGTGCTCTGTTCAGGTGGCCAGGACAGGACTGTCCCCAGGATGTGGACTACCTACATGGGATAGTTGGCCAGGGTCAGGGTGGTTAGCAGGATGGTGGCAGACCCCAGGGCTCACAGAACCATCACCTTCCAGGGTCAGGTGTGCTTGGGGAAGCAGTAGGACCCAGGGGAGGATGATGCCATACCTACCTCCAGGACTCCAGGGATGGCCTGGAGCAGCCCCACAACATCCCTTCCCCCCATTCCTCAGGGCCTGGGGTGGGAGCAAACAGCCGTAGCCCTTCAGAAGTAGGTGTGTGTCCCTGCATCACTCTGCTGGCTGGGAGGGCCTGGGCAAGCCTAGGAACCTCTTGAGTCTGCATGGTCTTCTCTGGGTAATGGGCATGAAACACTCCTCCACGCATGAGCCATCAATAGATGTGCTGATCCATAGGAGGGCTCAGGGCATCGGTCCCCTTCCCTCCCCAGGACCTGGAATAAAGACCCACCACACTCCATTCTCCATACTGCATGCCTGGCTGGGCCTGGATACAGTTGACCTCAGGGAGCCTAGACCAAACACACCTTGGGCAGGCCACTATGGAGGCTGAAGGGGTGGTTACCCTGGAACTGGTTCTCTGGGATTGCTGAGTCTTTCATGGGGCCTGCGTGTCCAGGATGTCGACACACTTGTCCTCCCTCCTGTCCCATGGCCTCCACCTTCCAGGTCCCTGCTGCCCAGAGTGACCTCATTGTGGCCAGATTTTGTTTTCCCTTGGTCAGTCCCCAGGCATCTACGTAGCGCTGTTGTCAGAGTGGGGAAATCAAAACTAAAACTTGCCTTACAACCCAAAGGGTGTGGCAGGGCAGAGAACTTCCTTGTTCTAAGAATTTCCTTGTTCTGAGATACCAATAAGGGTTCATGACTTGTATTCCAAATGCGCTGTGACAGTATCACTGACTCACCAGTTTCCAGATCCTGCAGACTATATATAAGGCTCCTGAGTCCAAGGAGCATCCTAGAAAGGACCACAGACACTCATGCTGTGATGGTGTCAGAGGTGGAAGGACACTGAACCAGGGACCAGGGACTAAGACGAGAGGCCAGCCCAGAGCCGAGGCCCAGGTACTGTCAGTCTCTCTGCTCCGGAGCCTCCCCCTGGCACTTTCCAGGTGGTCACTGGCCTCCTGCCACCCAAGGGCTCCTCTCCTCTCTTCTTGACCTTCTGTCTGGGTCTGGCTTCTCCCTCCGGGTCCCTGCTTGGGCTCCAGCCCTACTCTCTCAGCTGATACTCTCCATCTCCTGGGGTGGATGTGAGAAAGCCAGCAAACCCTGGTGGGTGATGGATGGCATCAAGCCTAGTGGGTAACGATGGCTCAAGAGGGATCCTCACTCTTGTCTGACATTAACATCTGCCATTTCTTGCAAACCTACCATGTCTCCAGACCTGGACTAGGCCCTTCCCATGCCCAATCCCATCCCCTTTAACCTAATAGGAGCAGCAAATGGCTCCTAGCAGTGCTTTGCTATGAGCAAATGTCCTTGTCTCCTTTTCCTGAGAACACACAGAAGGAAGTGGCAGAACCCAGATTCATGCTTGGGTCTGTGCAAAACCATAGAAAACGATGATGTTCTTCTAAGGACAGGCAGATTAGGGTCATGTTAGGATGCACAGCGAGGGTCTAAGAGAAGCCTGTAAAACGGAGCTGGGGTCTCCTACCCAGGAGCCTGAGGTGCCCTCCCAGCCTGAGAGGCATCGGGAGAGCTGAGGCCTGGGCAGAGCTGGACTCCCAGGAGAGATGTGTGGAGAGAGCGAGGAAGGGCAGGGCTGAGGGCAGGAGAAGGGGGAGCAAGAGCATGAGTCACCCGGAGTGTTGGGGAAGGAGCTTCAGAAAGGGGTCAGAATCTCAAAGGCGTCCTCTTCCCCCCTTTACTGAGGCTTTCTCCTGAAGACCTATGCTTTCTGTTTCTTTCCTGGAAGCCCCGGAGGCAGAGAGGTTCATGTATCCTGGTATTAGAGGGTCAGACACAAGTGCTTTCAGGTAGAGAACGTGCACACCCAGTCAACATGAAGTTAGAACAGAGTAGTAGATAATGTGACATACATTAACTAAAACATTTGAATACGTAACCGGCCTCCTGTATTTTATTTGCTGGTCCTGGACACCCTGCTAGTTGGGGTGCGGGGAATCAGCACAGGAAGGAAAGCAGCCAGTGAGAGAGCTGGGACATACTTCCTCCTGCAGGGAGACCCGGAGCTTCCCAGCAGACACATGCATCAGCCTCAGTCCACCCAGGCCAGGCTAGCTGGCTCCTGACCGCCAGTGTTGGCCTCATTGGTGGAGATTTGCTCCTGGGCAAATCTCAGCTGCTCAGCTGGGCCAAGGCTACCGGCAGCTGGAGAAGGTCCTTCATAAAGAGATGCAGGCCTGAAGCTGGCCTCAGAAGGAGAGTGGGAAGTGGCCAGGACAAGGGCCAGGGATCAGCATCCGCCACACTGAGGGAGGCACTGCCCAGTCAGCGCTTAATGTGGTCCCTTCCTGACCTGGTCTCCATTGGCCCCTGATCTGGCCCCAGCTTTCTGTGCTGGTGGTCTCAAGTCTTGACATCCGGGTCCTACCTCCTCTGCAAGAGAATATGGGGTCCTCTTCCTCCCTTCACCAAGGCTTCCTCCTGAAGACCTGTGCGTTCTGTGTCTATCCTCCTGCTCATTTCAACACACTTGACACTGTGCCTGGATAAAAGTGTCCTGACCTTCCCAGAAGAGTTTCTTCTCTCTGTTCATGATTCAATTACTGGGGCCATGGGAGGAGCAAGTTCCATCTGCTTCCATATCTGGACATACAGCCTAAGGTCCCCACTGCCTGGAGGTGGCATCTGAGGGCCCAGGTCTGAACTCTTTGGTGGACATAACAGGCTGGGTTGGGTTCTGGATACCTCGCAGCTCTAAAGCATGGGCAGGGCCTTGTATATAGTAGGCACACAATGTTTGTTGATGGAAAAGTCATTAGAGGTGGAATGTGAGACCTTGACTGGAAATGGTATGCCTGATTTCCCTTACTGATTCTCATAGGAGACGGATAACAGCCAGGATTACTGGCTGGGGCTGATGGCCACTCACTCTGTGCTGGGCCCTGTTTCCAGTGCTCCACAGACCCTGCATTGATTCTTACACAGAGAGGAGCAGGGCATCAAGGCAAAGATGTTTCCTAAAACATTTCACAAACCAAAGACTTCAAAACAGCAATGAAATCCCAAAGGAGACAAATATGAATTTTAAAAATTTATATAAACAAAGACAGAGTCAATATCCAAGGTAAAGGACTTGTAGAAGAAACATATTATCTTGAAAACAAAGGCGAGGGAATTGGCAAAGAGAAAATTAGAAAATTGTCAGAACTGAAGGGAAATGGGAAACATCAAAATTAAAAGGCCGGCAGAGAGCCTCCAGGAGGACAAGAATGGGATTGAATCCCATGCAACTGCCAATGCTCCGTCTTGTTGACCTGTAAAAATGCAGTTTCCCATGGTTCCTAATAAATGCACATCGAGACCCATCTTTGTGGCATTTCATTGCAGGAACAGTTCTTAAAGCCATCACAGCACAAAATGGGGACCCTCCAGGATGAAGCGGATGTCACACTTCTCACTGGCTCAAGGATGTGTGAAGACAGCACAGCAACACATCCCATCTTCTAAGGGGAAGCCATGTCTGTCCACACTTCCACAGCCAATGTAACAAGCGCAGTCGCAGAACTGAGTTGTGTTTGGACATGTGAGACCTGAGCTCCGGTCTTCCCACACTTCTGCTGAGGGTCTATGCACTCCAGAAGGACAGGGGTCACCTCAGAGGGAAGATGATGGTGACCCAGGAAACCACAGCCTCACCCCAACGGTAAATCAGGGAAGGCCCTGAATGGCAGCTGTCTGCTGGCCTAGAGCTGCCATTCAGACACAGGAGGTGCCAGGACTCTGGGAAGACAGGTGCAGGAAAGGCATATTCAATGGGCCACGGAGGAAGATTGAAGCTGGGAAAGTGAGGCCACGATGAAAGCACAGATCCAAGACCACAGGGAAGGACCACTGGTGGGAGCTGGTTGTGACAGGAGCTGGTGTCAAGTCCTTCCTCTGGCCACAGGTGCCCTCCCAGGACAAGGGTGAGTTGGGAGCCAAACTCAGCTGCTCTGGTTCCACCCTTAATGCAACTAGAAAGCATTTGTCCCAGAAGTGGGCCCAGAAAGACAGTCTCTGGATCATCTTCTGGGGCCTCTAGAGCAACAGGGGCAGGTTCTCTCCAAGGCCTTCTCCTTCAGTTTTCTCAGAACCCGGGAACTCTTGCTTCTTGGATATCTAAATATCAGTGAACGTCAAGTGCTCATTCTGCCTCCATAAAGACCCCTGTAAAGACACATCCAGGGAAAGCTATGCAGGATGGCTCTAGCTCTCCAACAAGGATGCAGGGGGGCCTGGGCATGCTTTGTGCCTGGTAGCAGAGAGCATCAGGAAGAAGCCACCAAAACGGAGATTAAGAGGACTCCAGTCAAAATGCATAAGCGACACTGCAGCTCCAAGGAAGGATGCTCTCAGCTTGGTTGTGTGGACACTAAGATTTGCAACCCGGCAGCTATAACCCGTAGGGAGTGAAGCCTGTTTAACTCAGCAGAGTGCTAGCTGTTCTTCAATGTGACAATGAAAAACTTACGGTTCTGAAGGGAAAAGGTAAGGGGTGGAAAGGAAAGGAAAAGGAGAGGGAGGCTAGGCTGCATCCTACAAGAGTCCAGAGACTCACTGTGGTGGAAAGGGAAACAGAGTTGAAGCTGAAGAGGAATGAGATGTGAGTTACAGAACGGTGACTTCCCTTTGAGGACATGGAAATAAGAAGAAAGATAGAGTTGGAAATTCTCTACAACGATAAGGGATATGGAAGACCTCATGCATCATCTGAAAAGAAATCCCTGCCAGTCTCTTTTCCCTGGTGGCCCCACTTAGGAGCATCTTAGCCCCGTGCTGGGTGGGGTGTGAGTTAACCCTGCAAACAGGAGGAAAAGCCCAGCAGGGTCACCTCTAGCAGGGGCTGTGGGGCTAGCAGAGCCAGGATGGGGCGGATAGTGGAACCCAGGGAAGAGACCCAGCTGTACCCCAGGGAGAGGGGTGGGGTCTCCTCAGAGGGTCTGAGCAGACTATGCTGATCCTAGGGAGACCCTGAAGGGACCAAGACAGTCCCAGAGCTGTACTGACTTCCCGATGAGCCCAGAAGGGGTCAGAGAGGAAGGTTCGGTGGCTCCAGAAGTGGGCAGAAGTCCCTCCTCTGACAGGTGACTCTGGATGTGGGAGAAGGAAGGGAAGGAGTATGAGGTGCAGGGAAGGAGTAGGGGAATAGTCCTGAGAGGAGTCTTAGACATTTGGGTTTTCCTGTCCTTGTCTACAGATACCTGATGGATCAAAACACATTCACTCGCAACTTTATCAACAACCTGTCAGTATCTGGGCGGCGTCAGACCTTACTGTGCTATGAGGTGGAGCGCCTGGGCGGTGACATCTGGGTCCCACTGGACCAGCTCAGGGGCTTTCTACTCAGCCAGGTGACCAACCCAGCCACCCGCCTCCAAGCAGGCCCTCTCAATAAAGAGGCCTTCACATAGAGAAGGTTCTCAGTGGCACATGTGGTGTTCCACAGTGTCTGTCATCTGAGGGTCCTACAAACTGCTGCTGCTTGATCCTGAGCTCACCTGGGAGACTTTGACTTCATGATTCTCCATGACTGGGGACTTCCAGTCCCATGTCAGAAACTGGCCCCATGGTCCATGGTCCTGCACCATTAGGCCAGTGTCACCAACAACTCCAGGCCTCAGCCACCACACTTTCACTGTGCTCTGAGGGGTCAGGAGCAGAGGAAAAGGGTCTGTACCAGGGCCAAGTGGTGGTGTCACATCTCCCAATGCCAAGGTGCTTCCTGAGGACCCTCCAGGATTCCCTCCCAGAGGCAGTTTCTCACCAGGGACGTCTTGAGAGAAGTGGGATTGGAGGACTCAGGGCCTCCGTGATTTCACATGGCCAAAATTCCCAAGTGTCTGCTCCTGGGTGTCATCCTGAGGACAGAGGGACTGAGGCAGGAGAGGGGGAAGGGTGTCTGTCCTTGGGATTCTGTCCTGACAGGGCAGAGCCCACAGGAAGGCCAGGAGAACAGGCACCATGTCAGGATGTCAGGGATGGCCAGCATCTGGGGAAAGGCTGGGACTGGCCAGGCCTAGACTTGACCAGTCCTGGTTACACCTCCCATCCTCTTGGCACTGATGACCTCAGCCTGAGTATTTCCCTGTCCTTAGTAGAAACCTTTCACTCTGCAGCTGGAGCAAATCTCCATAATCCTATGGGCCACAACAGTGACAATCACCGTATGACCAGGGACCTTTCCCCTTTTAGGATAAGTCCTGCTGGCTCCCCTTGACCTTACTCTTCCCTGCATGACTTGAGTCCATGTCATCCTTTGGCCTAGTACAAGATTAAGTCCAAGGCAGAAGTCTCTAGAAGAATTGCTGCAGAAGTAGGGTTGGGGCGAGGGAGTAGATGGATATGGGGTCAGTCTCCCCATGAAGTAAGCACACCCCACTCGTGGGCACCAGGGCAATGACCTTGGGGCTCAGTTGGCTCCTACTCCTCCTCCTCCTCCAGCCCTGCAGCCCCTCCCTGCCCAGCACTCCTGGGGTGAGGATCCTGAAGCCACTGACCTCAGGCACGAAATTAGAGGGGATTCCAAATGCTCAGTAATCAGAGAAATCATGTGATAATGTAGGATAAAAATATTTAATGCAATATTTTAAAAATCAAATTTAATACAAAACTCTAGGATGAGCAATACATGACATTTTAAATGAAGATAAATTGGTGTTAGCACTGTGCTAAAAATATTCAAGCCGATACAAATAAAAAGTCATCATTCCTAATATGTCAGTTTTTAAATGGCTGATATTTTGTCAATCTTGCATGGAAATTCGTTCATCTTGGTACCGGAGGTCCCAGCCCCCTGTAATTTTGTGTGGAGGCCCCATCTCCCTGGCCTCTTCCTAGTCCAGGCCCTCCCTACCTGTTCACACTTTGCTTTCTTTGCTAGGCTCGGGATGTCCTCAATTATTATCAAGGTCGTCATGCAGAGCCTTGCTTCCTGGACCTGGTTTCTTCTTGGCAGCTGGACCCAGCCCAGCACTACAGGGTCACCTGGTTTATCTCCTGGAGCCCCTGCACCAGCTGTGCACAGGCAGTGGCTGCATTCCTGAGAGAGAACCGACATGTGACCCTGCGCATACTGGCTGCCCGCATCTATGATTATCACCAGGGATATGAGGAGGGGCTTCGCACACTGCAGAGGACAGGAGCCCACATTGATATCATGACCTTCAAGGGTGAGAATAGAGCCTTGGGGTGGGGTGTGCTTGACCAGGAAAAGGGCCCAAGGAAGTTACTAGAAAGTGGTGAGAGGGTCGGCATCCCTGGGAGAAAGGTCTTGGTCAGTTGTCTGCAGAGCTGATGGCAACACTTTTGGACCTGACTTTGAGGTCTATTGTAAGAGACGGTCCAGGCCAGGCGGTGGGATACTGAAGAGGGGATGGAGGGTGGTTGGAAATAGAAGAAATTGGGGCTTCTAGCAAGAATCAGAACTCAGTTGACTCAGATTCCCATAGAAAGAAAGAATTTGATGAAGGAGCTACATCCCTGGGGGAGGGAAAGACAAAGAAGGAGACTGAAATTTGGATGGGAAGGTCTGTTCCTAAGAATCATACACCCTGAATGCCTACTGTCCACCCACAATGGGAGCTTGATTGATCTCCCCTGTCCCTTTTCAGAGTTTGGACACTGCTGGAACACCTTTGTGAACCACAAGGGAAGTCCCTTTAAGTCTTGGACTGGGCTGGATCAACACAGTCAAGCCCTAAGGAAGAGGCTGCAGGACATTCTTCACACGATGGCCTCCTCCCTCTGGTTGGTTCCCCATCTCCCTCCTCCCTCCTTCTTCCCTTTCTTTCCCTGGGCCTTTCTGTCTCCTCTGTTCAGAGCCTCCTCTGAGTTACCTGCTTCTCCCAGAAGTGTCCGTCTCAGTCCCGCCCTTTCCTCCTCACTGCCTCCCCCTGCTCTGTTTCCTTCTGTGTCCTCCCTTCCTCTTCCTGTCATTGTAAATGTCCCCAGACCTTTTCCCTGTGTAGCCTTTCCACTGCCACACCCTCTGCTCCATACAATTTCACCTTTCAAGAAAGGCAAACAGGCTGTTCACCATGACCTCCAGTTCATCAACACAGACCACCAAAGCAACTACTTCCTGAGTGCAAAGTCTGACAATTAAGTTTGTGAACTTATCAAAGAAAAAGTGCTACATACCTCATTGTTGAATATCACTACAGTCACCTTCAAAGTACTCTTTTTTGGGAAGCTATGCACCAATGCCTGTGCCTAGTCCATTCGTCAAAGAAATTTTGGAACTCTTTTTCTGGAATGGCCATCAGATGTCCTTAATGTCCTTGATGTCCTTAATGTCACCAAAATGTCTTCCTTTCAATATTTCCTGAAAAGAGGTCATTTTGGTTATATTAGAACAGTCATTTAGAAAAGACTTAAAAACTTGTATTCTTTTGTAGCTGAATTAGACTAAACATAGCCACTTGGATTCAAAAGTGTATATTTTTCCTATGCACCCTCCTCCCCTTCTCTTCTCCCAGCACAATCTTGCCCAGCTGGCCAATCTTATGTAGTAAGCTATTGCAGGTGCTAGTCTCATCTGTAAAATACTGATATCTAACAGGCAGTTCAGAATTTCTTGCTTTCTAGGTTTTCACTAAATTTTTTGGTTATTTTATGTATTCTGAATATTATTTTAAAGTTATTTATGAAAGGTAAAAAGAAACTAATAAGTAGGAAAGAGAAATGTAAAGAAAGTTATGGATATGAAGGTGTATTTTTGGTGAGGAAAGTTATAAAGAAAAGAGAATAATTCTGTATGTGAAAGGATTTTGTATAATACAATTTTGTCCTGAAGTAAAATGACTGGTTATTTAGGAAAGAGGAAAATATAGGGCAAAACAGAGTCCAAGCATGTTATCGGTGGTATGTGTGAGCTGTAATAAGGTCCATGAAGGGGAATTTATGAAAGGAAACGTGTATATAATTAAGTTGGTTATAACTTTCTTTTCTCCAGTTCTAACTGCTGTTATACTTTGAAAGGTTTTTAATTACGTTGGAAAACTGAGCTTTGAAAGGATAATAATGTTTACATCCATGTAACTTTTGGTATTGTTTTTGAGGTTTACTGCCTTGGATAAATGAATAGCTATTATTTTTACAGTAATCTGTAATTCTATGTTAGTAAAATGTTCTGAGCCTGTTACATCTCTAGTAAATGCTCTATTAACTAATTCTTGTGCTATTAAGCTACAAGGCTTTGACTCCTGGGACTGGAAAAAAGTGATTCTTGCTAAATCCCACTAGTCAGGGCCTTATCCCACCAGTCAGGTCCAGGAGAAGGTGACAATCAAAACAAACTGCCTTTATAAAACATAGGGCTAAAAATTAAAGTTATTCAATCTCTCTGTGCCTAGGGACTATTGCAAAAGAGGTGAGCTTGTGAAATTGTAAGGACTAACTTTTGAGAGATAAAATTAATTGAGTTGTCTACAAATTAAGCATTAATATCAACAGCACCTTGGTGAAGGGTCAATGTCGGAGACCCTGGTTTCCTTGATGTGTTGGTTTGTTCTTTAGCAGAGAACTATAAAAGTTATAATAAGTTTATAAAAATATTTTGCTGTATGTTATAGAATAATCAGATTTTCTTGTTGGTTGTGCTTTTAATGGTGACTGTCTTGAAACTTTTGCTATTTACAATTAGTGTTTTTAATTTGTGACCGACTAAAGGATCTTGCTGGATGACTTTGACTTACTCTTGTGCTGCAAAGTTGGGGGAATCAAATTGAAGTCATATCTTACACCTAGGATGAGCATCTGACCACACTTCTGACCACACCTTGACTTTGAGCTGGCCCACTGCCACCTGCCTATGATTTAGGAATGCACCTGGGATCTGACTGGTCTCCAGTGTAAAAACTAAGGCAGGCATCCTCCAGGAACATTGAATTAGGCCAAACCTCATGAACTCTGAAATAAGTCTCATCTTTACACCTGTCACTATGTTATCTTCATATGTCTATTGTAAATGCGATACCCCATACAGGAAAAGAAAACACCAAAATTAAGGGCCTGGATCATAATAACCTATGATATAAAGCCAATCCAGGATGGTTTTTCAGACTAATCTCAAACCTCACTCCCTCTTGCTTTTAAACAATTAGCTATAAAATCAAGCCAAACTATGTCCTTTCCCCTTAATCTAACATCACTGAGGTGGAGACTACTGTCACCAAATGGACAATTCTAGGAATATGCTTCTTAGCTCCATGGAGCCTTGCCAGGTAAACAGAATAGATAACCCTAGGAAAGAGCCTTCTTAGCTCTTTGGAACTTTGCCAGGTAAATGGAATAGATAGCCCCAAATGAACCTTCCTACTGACATGGGACCTCCTGCTCTTAAGAATGATGCTTAACCAATGGGAAAAATGAGGACTGAACTTGACCTTTTTGCCATACCCGATATCCTAACTAAAGACTTGGAAAGTCACTGCCTAATAAGAACTCACTAAAAGGGTTTTATTACCCTATATACTAACCTTGTTTTCCAACCTGACTCTGGCATAGCATCATATAATACATTAAAAAAAAAAAAAACGAAAAATCCCATGATAGAAATCATGGGTGTAAATGACAGCAAGGAATGTTATAGGCTGAAAAGAGGCAATTTTGGTTATATTAGAACAGTCATTTAGAAACTTGTATTCTTTTGTAGATGAATTGAGCTAAATGTAAAAGCCATGTGAATTCAAAGTGTACACTTTTTCTGTTCATCACTCCCCATGTCTACTGCTTCTCCTTCTCCACTCCTTGCCTGACTGACCAATTTTATCTAGTAAGCCATGGGTGCTAAAGAAGAAACAGCCAGGCAAGCCAGACCACTTAATGATGAGGAAAGTGGCCCAAGACCAACAGGAATGTGTCTGAAAGCTTGGAGTGGGCATTTCCCACCTCCCCTCCATCTGTGAATAAAAGGACAACAAATTGCTATAGGCCAGGGCTCAGGGACTAAAAGATTATTGCAATTATGTTTTAAAACAGTTTACAGTTTATCATCTTAAATGTTATGATTTTCCCTTCCTTCCAAATATTGCAATTGCCTCCCCTGCCTCTAAAAAAACTGTAAAAGTACATATTGTAAATTTCAAAATGTTATCTAAAATGTCAACATGACCAGGAGACTTTGTGTCACATCAATAGTCACAAATCAGAAATTTTTAATGTAAATCTTGAGTCATGCTAAAACTGCATGTAGACATCAAACTCAGGGTGGGTGGAGGGCTGTGAATGTTGGATATAAATACTGGAATGAATTTGTGTTGCTCTGAGTGGGTTTTTTGGCAATGATGCCCACCTGTCTCCCTATAACCTGATAATAGAAATTAAACATTCCCTTTTCTCCCAGTCTCTGCCTCTCGTATCTTAACTGGCCATGAGGGATAGCAGCCAATTTGTTGGATCAGGCTGTAACACTTTATTTTTGGGTAAAGAAAAAAGTCACTGGGGGCCAGATAGGGTGAGTAGGGGGGGTATTCCAATACAGTTATTTGTTTACTGGCTAGAAACTCCCTCACAGACAATGCTGTGTAAGCTGGTGTGTGGTCATGAGGCAAGAGCTCCTTTGGGGCCATTTTTGCACACACCTTTCTCCTGCCAAGATTTTCAGTTAAAATTTTCTTAACTGTTTCTCTATCAACATCTATTTGGTCTGTCAGGCTTCTCACAGTCAGCCAACAATTTTGACGCACAATTTGACAAATTTTGCCATGTTTTCATCAGTTCTGCTCATTACTGGCTGTTCTGAACTCTCTTCATCAGTGATGCTTTCTCTCCCCTCAGAAAAATGTTTAATCCGTTTGTACACTGTCATTTTCTTCATGGCATTATCCCCATAAATTTGGGCTAACACGTTCCCAATTTCACCTCCACTCTTGCCAAGTTTAATAAATTTAATGTTTGTTCGTTGCTCTAATTCAAGCTCCAACATTCTCATGATGGTACACAAAAACATGCAACGAGAATGAACGCCACTCAGCAAGACACTGCCACATGTTGACATGAATGCAACTGTGAGACACTGATATTCCCAGGTTATGAAACTTTACTGAGTTGTTTGTACAGTGCTGCCGACATAAGTGTACAGTGGCAAGTTCGCAAACTTAATTGTCAGAATTCATAGTCCTAGTGGCAAGTTTGCAAACTTGTCAGACCTCACAGTCCTAGGGAAGCTGAGCCCAGCAGCAGGAGACTTAGAAAGCAGACAGAGCCCAGGGCCAGGGCAGAAGGAGTCAGGGCTGGCTTCAGCTCTGGGTCTGTCCCAGGCCTTCCACAAGGGCTCCTGGCTCTGTGACCCGTGGGACATTTGTCTCATTACAGCAGGTGCCTCATACCTCATGATGTCCTGTGGGGCCTCAGGAGTCAAGTATATGACTAAGAAGGGGCCTCACACACAGCTGCTCCTGGGCAGAAAGGACTCACTGCTCTCCTGGCCAGACACACACACACACACACACACACACACACACACACTAACAGTCACACAGAGTGACAAAAGACACATCATCGGGTTATCCAGACACACTCAGACACCTCCTCAGCTCTGCTCCACTTAGAGAATTTCAGCATCTCCTGTGGAGTGGGGTGGGTGCCAGAAGGCCTGGTCATCACGTTCCCTCCTTTACTTTTGTTTCCTGACCTGCCTCCCCTTCATGCCAGCAAGTGACCTAAAAATATGCAATCCTTCTGGCCAAGGGGACAGAAAAACTGAGGCTTCACCCTGAGGAAAGAGTCCTCAGTTAGCAATTTCAGAGGGCAGGATCCCGGAGACCTGGTCCCACACCCCAGATCCCCTTTCTCAGGGCTTGGGCTTCTCTGGCCATGTCTCTAGGACTCTATCTCCAAGCTTTGTCTGGGACTTGCAGGTCCTATGAGGGGACCATATAAACACTAGGAGCACTGTGGAGCCCCTGGTTGAGAACTGGCAGCCTGGCATCCTTCTTCACTCGAGGGAGGGCAGGGCCCCTGCAGTGACCGAGCTGGGACCCCCTACAGAGAAGCAAGGACCCCAGACCCAGGTGGTAGATCACTCTGGTCGCAGGGTCCTTCTCCTGGTCTGTCCCTCTGACCAGTCTGACTCCTGCTGGGTACCCTTACTGTCCTCACAGGGACCAGAGCGAACCCAAGAAGCCTATACCCTCTCAGGAGGTGACACTCCCTGAGTCCATCCCACCTTCACATGGGAACAGGTTCCGTCTTGTCAAGAGACCTTCCTAGGCTCTGATGGAAACTCTTGCAGAACCTGGAATTATTTCACCTCATTCACCTGAGGTTGTTCACTCAATGTTCCTGAGGCAGACATGGGGGAGGGGCTGCCATTCCCGAGATAGGGCAGGATCTCCTGCTGTCTTCACCCAGGTGACTTAAGGAGGTGCTGGCTCTCGCCTCTGCCACCTGAGGACTGATTTGGGGCCCAAGTTCACCCCCAGGCTTCATCGATGCTTTGTAGAATCGTGCCCTGGCCCCAGGAGGACTGGGAAGGGATTTGTGGTTTCTGAGTCTTTGCTGCCCCCAAGAAAGTCAGGCTCTAGTGGCCTGGGAGAGGTAGATGAAGACCGTTGGGGCACCTGCAGACAGTACAGCAGTCCCTAGGGTACTCACCTTGCAGTTCCAGGTTGTGGCACTTATGAGAGTTGCTGTGTCCAGGGCTGGAGTGAAATGGTCACTCACTCACTGCTGGCACATGGATGTCAGAAGCCCAGACAGTGGCTCTCCCATCCACCCTCTGCCAACAGAGCTTCCCGGTCTCCCTCTGTGCCTGTAGGGAGACCCTCCCCTCCTCCTTTCTCTCTTGTCTGGATGCCCTGCCTCAAAATGTGCCTTGTACAATGTGCACAGATTATTTATCTCTGGGCTAGATTTGGGACCAATTTACTTTAAACATTTTCATCTGAGTCCCTCTTTGCCATAAGATGAGAAGTCTTATAAAGGTGCAATTGTGGTGACAGTCTCTTCTTTGTAAAACTAGGAGGGGAAACAGATGACATATCTGTCAGGGACAAGCTCACAGCACACCTGGTGCAGGTAAGGCCATTCTGCTGCTGTTGACAGTGGAGACTAAGCTTCCAATTAGGGCAGCTGGTTGCTCACACCACTCCTCACATCCCTATCTTCTGAACCCCAGCTGAGCCCCCTCTACCCAGCACACCCCAGGGTCCTTCCCTCCCATAACACCTGGGAGGGGCCACTCTGTGCAGAGCACAGGCTGAGATGGGAGGGCTCATCTCAGCCTGTGCTCTGGACACAGCCTGGCTCCCATGAGCCCCCTGCACACACACTCTGGGCCTTCCCTCCCTCCCCTTTTCAAGCTTGTGCCTGGACATTCCCCAGGTCACAGGTACATAGGACTCAGTAGATATCTGTAAATGTAACTAAAGAACAGGATTCTGCAAGTGCCAGGGATGGGGACTGGGGAGCAGATAGCAGGCGGCTGGAGCCCTGATGTGACTGACAGCCCAGTGTTCCTGAATCCTAGGTGAGGTTCGGTCCATGCTCCAGGGTAGCCTTACAGGAGAGTCTGGACAGAGTCACTGGTCATATGGAGGGGGCTGCACAGCAGGGCCCCAAGACCCAGCAATCCTCAGCGCATGGGGGTCCTGACAGAGGCTGAGGGGAGAGCACAAGGGGAAAGGTCACACTGAGAGGAAGCCCCCCAGGGTCCATGAGCCACATACCCTCTACCTTCATGTTCCAGGGCCTGTGTGTCTTTCCAAGCTCTTGGGCCGTGTACGGCCTCCTCTGCTGAGTCCTGAGTTGGCTTGTAGGCATCCTGTTGGTCCCTTCTCCCTGAGGCTAGATGGGTGACTCCAGGAAAGCACCTTAGGGAGAAGGTCAAACATATACAGTTGACATCCCCACCCCTCTTCAAAGGAGGAGTCCCTGGGCCCAGGTATCTATTGGAAAGTCAGCAGGAAGTGGACATTTGAGTCATGGAGACATTCTGGACAAGAATGAATTTTCTGGGTTAGAGATGGGGAGGTGGTGTCGGAAAGGGCCATGGGACAGGGGACCTTGTCAGGCTGGGGTGTGGGCAGTTGAAGGAGGATGAGCCTGGGTGGTTGAGTGGATGGACCCTGGAGACTGAGGAGCCAGACAGGAGGGAGATGCATCTGGGGATGAGAGCACAGCGCTCCTCTGTGTGCACCCTCCCCAAGTTCCCCACTAAGCTCTGGAAGGCTATTGTGGCTGTGGCTCCAGGGACACATTCACTTGTGGGGCACATGATGCAAGCTGAACCCCAGGGGAAAGACTGTTGCTCTGGGCAGAGGAGTCACCTGGGAAGGGGTGGAGAAGGGCTAGGGCTGTGCCCTCTGAGGGTCCTGCGTGGCCCAGGAGGTGACTGGGGGCCAGGAGCAGAGCTAGCAGGATCAGGACAACACCCCCCTCCAGGAAAGGCAGTCCTGTGGGGACATGAGCAGGGACCATGGCCCTTCTGTGTCTGGAAGCCCTGATGCTGATATAGGCGCTGTCTCTGCCAGGAGTTCTGTGCCTACTGTGGATGCCAATTGTGTGTGCCACGAGTATGAACTGGGAAGTGGAGGCTCTAATCAGACATACGTAACACACCAAACCAAGATGAATTCACACCCAAACCACCTCAGACTCAAATGGGGCTGACAACTGAAGGTGACATCCTCATGACTAGAGGGGACCGAAGTCTGGAAGCACATAGTGAGCATCTTCTGTTTGTCCATGAGGAGTGGTGGTCACTAAGAATGCAGGGGACACTGAGCTGAGGTTTTCCACCCACAGTGTATGACTGGCCAGCCTAGGAGGATAAGAAGCCCAGTGCTCTGTCCAGGGGGCCAGGATGGGACTGTTTCTAGGACCTAGACTCCTATGCATGGGACAGCTGGCCAGGGACAGGGTAGAGTCCAAGAGGAGCCAAAAGAGGGGGTTCAGTAGAACAGGGGGCAGTGCCTGGGGCCCACAGGGCTAGCACCTGCCAGGGACAGGTATGCAGAAGGCAGCAGGAGGATGAAGCCAGACCTGTCGCCAGGACTCCGGGGCTGCCTTGGGGTAGGAACACAACAATCCCCCAGTTCCTCAGGGTCTGGGGTGGGAGGGAAAAGGGTGACCCTTTGGAGTAGGTGTGTGTCCCTGCCTCACTCTGCTGGCTGGAAGGGCCTGGGCAACTCTCGGTACCTCCCTGAGCCTTCAGGATCTCCCTGGGTAATGGACATGAAACACTCCTTCTCTAGTTAACCATCAATAGGCGGGCTGATGCATACTAGGGCTTGGAGCATGTTGGTCCCCTCCAGGGCCTGTGATGAAGGCTCAGTACACTCCATTCTCCACTCTACGTGTTTGGGAAGGCCCTAGATGTAGCCAGCCCCAGGGAGCCTGGACCAGGCAAGCTGTGTGCCGGCCACTGTAGGGGGAGAAGGGGTCGTTGTCCTGGAGCCTGCTCTCTGGGGATGCTGAGTCTTATGTAAGGCCTTTCTCTAGGACATGGATGTCTGTCCTCCCACCTATTAGGAAACTCAAAACCCAAGTTTATCCAAAGGCATGTCAGAGGATTGTCCTGTTCTGACATGGATGTGGGTGGCATGGGTGGCCCAAGTTAGGGAAGGCATGAGGAACTGTGCAGCTTTCAGGCCACTCTGATGAGATATGAGGCTCCTAGGTCCATCCCAATGAAGACCACACGGTCACACACTGTGAGAGTCTCAGAAGCAGGAAGACACAGACACAGGAACCACGAAGGGACTAGGACAAGATGCCAGCCCAGCGCTGAGGCCAGGTACCATCAACCTCTCCCAGTGTCTCTACTCCAGAGCTTCCTCCTGGGGCCTCCCTGGAGATCACTGACTTCTTGCCCTCCAAGGACTCTTCCTCGGACCCCTGGGGACTCTCCTCTCCGCTTGACCCTCTCTCTGGTCTGCGGTTCCTGTTTTGGACCCAGCCTTGGTCTCTTGTCTGATGCGCTCAATCCCATGTCTCCCCAGATCCTGGGGCGGGTGTGAGGGAGCCAGCAAATCCCGTGGATGGTGGTGAGTGGTTGAAGATGGCTCTAGAGGGATCTTCCTCACTTGGCTTACATGAACACCAGCTGTTTCTTGCAAACCTACCATGTCTCCAGACCTGAGCTAAGCTCTTTCGATGCCCACTCTCATCCCCTTTAACCTAATATGAACAGTGAATAGCTCCCAGCACCACTGTGCTTTGAGGAAAAGTTCTTGTTTCTTTTTCCTGAAAACAAACATGCAGATAGGAAGCTATAGAGCCCAGATTCACACCTGGGTCTACATCTAACTGCAGCCCACACTGAGATTTTTCAAAGGAGAGACAGATTGGAGTTGTGTTACATTCAGATAGAAGGCCAGGGAGAGGGTACAGGGTGGGACTGGGGTTTCTGGTCCAGGAGTCTTAGGGTGCCCACCAGCTGGGGATGTGTGGGCGGGGGGGTGGTGGTCTAGGAACACACAGAGCTGTTGTGGGATTTTTAATCGCCATTTTAATGTATATAATTTAAGTTAAATTTAAAAATTAAAGAGCAGGCTGAGCGAGGTGGCCTGTAATCCTAGCACTTTGGGAGGCCAAGGCAAGAGGATTGCCTGAGCCTATGGGTTCAAGAACAGCCTGGGCAACTTGGTGAGACCTCATCTCTACCATAAATCACAAAAACTAGCCGGGTGTGGTGGCGTGTGTCTGTACTTGCAGCTACTTAGAAGGCTGAGGTGGAAGGATTGCCTGAGCCTAGCAGGTGGCCATGAATGTGTCACTGCACTCCAGCCAGGGCGGCAAGAGTGAGACTCCAACTCAAAAAAAAAAAAAAAAGGACAATTAAAGAGCAAAAGAGAAAGAGAGGTTTTAGAGATGCTAAGGGCCAGGAGGTGTTTCTCTGGGAGTGGTCTCTAAACTCTTCTCCTTTGTGACTGCTGGGCCCCTCAGCCCCAGTGTCCCCCGGCTTTGCCGACTTGATGTCCAAGGCACCTCAGATCTGACACATTAGTGGTCTTGATCTTAATCCTGAATGCTTCTTCTGCCCACCTTCCCTTTGGTTCATCAGGTGTTCAAACCCAAACGCCGCTTCCTCCCTCGCCTCCTTCCCAAGTCCGATGAATGACACAACCCCATCGGCTTCATCTCCACAATGCCCTCCCCTCTGTGCCTCTAGCGTGCCACAGCCATCACCTGTCACCTGGTATAGTGGACCGTCTCAGCTCCGGCTTCCCTTTCCACCCACTGCTGGAGTGAATTTTTGCTTGTTTTTT